GTTCTCGTTTCAAATTTGTTTTTAATTCATTTGCCTTTTGCTGCTTCCCCATTTAGGTTAGATGAATGCTGAACTTGATCTAACCTACAATAAAGCTGCTACTTTCAAACAAATTGTTTAAGTTAATGCAGGTGCTGTGTATTTTATGCAATATTGAGAAGTGTTCGACCAGGTTGACGATATGTGAAGATAGTAATTAATTTGTGCGGACATACGGTAAATTGTATGCACACAATGATCACATAAGTGTACTGTATTGTATGATCGAAAAGAAGGATGAACGGTAGGTAAATGCGAAGGGAATGAAGATATAATGGTGCTGAATGAATATGGTGGATATATATATAAGAAGGAAAGAGAGCAGCAGCAAGTGCCATCATTGATTAATGGATAGAAGATGGATGCTCTCTGGCGAGATGTACTTCGCTTACGAAATGAATGAACCAAGCAACGAACGATCATCGCACATTCGTTAAGCCTAAGCCAGTGCGTGCGTATCATTCAAGATATGCGCGTAGCGTACGCTCAGTTTAGCATACTCCTTCCGTTAGATCGCTGTTTCTAGGTAAAGCTTTAAATGTGCATTCACTAATCTCATTCTATTTGCAAGCACTGACCGATCTGACCGCAAATAACGTGGCATAGAATGAAGCGATTTCAGGGTGGATTTGATTTGGTGCACTAGTATGTTGGTTGGTTTATGAGCTGTTATTATTATTATTATTATTATTATTATTATTATTATTATTATCTGTTTTATAATAGAATATATAGATGGATAACATTGTTGAATAGTGCGTCTTATGTTTGTATCTGCGTTACAGCACAGCCAACGGATTGATGCTTCATTATTGCGTATTTGTTATGAGATAGACGGATGTAATGTGAATATTGAAGGCGATTCATTCCGAAAGCAGTCGGTCGTCGTTGTGCTAGTTTGGCTGCTGATATATTATTCATCCACGTACACATTTTTGTTGTCCTCTGAGATTGCCCTATGCGCTCAAAGGAATTCTTCCATACGTACGAGTCAATATTTCACATCAATTAAGCTGTCAATCGCATTGCACCAATTAATGTTGATCAAGTGTGATTATGTTTCATCTCATATTTCTCAACTCATCTTTTGTTATTTATCTCCGTTTGGCCCTAGCAGTTTTATGCAGTATGCAACTGCTCATTCTATTAATTCGTCGGTAAGCATCAATTCGAAATTATTTATTTTAATAACTATGCGTAATGAGGCGCAGTCTTGTCGGAATCATTTTCAACTCGATAGCGCGTAGTTTTATCTCACGTTGAGCATTGTTTTTGTTTAACATGTTTGCAAAATTTTGTATTTATTCGGTGCAGTTCATGTAGATGTGAACTTCCCTGTTTCCATGGTCACTTCTGTGCTATAGCATATATGTTCAGCAGAAGTGATGTATACCTCCGTCTAGCATACTGTTGCATTATTAGTCTACAGTCGTTCATTATCACATGGTATCTATTGTTCGAATAAAGATCTGCTGAAAACCATACCGACAATATCTCACTAGTTGAGCAATGCGACTCTCATGTCGAAAGTTTTAGCAGCCCACTAAAATGGTAAAAGGAAATGGTGAGACATATTAGTTAGTGTGTTGTTGGCTGACGTTCAGCAATTGCGGAGAATATGAAGACATCGAATCATGCGAAATTTTAGAAACCTTTGCATCTCTTCGACATCCTTTCAGGTGTGAATCGAATCTTGAACGCTTCTTGTCATGATATTTGCTGCATACTAATGACATGCGTATGCCTCAAAACTTTTTTGTCGTCAATATGGAATTGTTCGAATAACGATATGAGTTCAACGTGAAATTCATATTTTCAACTTAACTTTACAAAATATTACAATTCGCTCCGTTTTTTGAGCATCACCATGCGGCTAATGTGACTATGCAGTTTCATATCAAGCCGCATATTGCTGTTCAAATTATTACTGACTGTCATAGTTCGCCTTCGATAAACGAAGTGATTTGTAAAAGCTTTTATTGTCTTTCAAAACTTCACCGTTTTTGTCCTTTGAATGGCCAAACAAAACAAACGAACTACGTTTGCACATTCATCTGTTGACGCAACTCATTGTGACTGCAAATCGGCTTCACTGCGTTCACCAATAGACAATGGTTTCCGATGAGGGGAGAGCACAAAATAGTCTACTATCCAAAAATAGCCCAGTTTTGGGGTGGGTTTTTTGGGTTTTGAAATCTCCCCCCCCCCTTTTTTTCCCCCACTCTTCGTTTTCCTCTCCCTTCCGCCTTCTTTTTCTCTTTTCTTCCAGCTCCCAAGTCATGTTTATGATGCATTTCCAGTATAGCAAAAAATTTCAATGAATTTCAATTGAAATGAAAAAAATCCAGCGTAGCAAAAAATTTCAACGTTTATGTAATAAAAGAAAAACAAAAAATCGTTGAAATTTATCATTTATTTGTGTTTTCAATGCATTCGAAAAGGCATTCAATTTACATCATTCCTTATGCTTATCCACTATTTTATTTCATCGTCAAAAGAGCACCACTTTTTGTTGGAGTGATTTTTTATGAAAAGGATAAGAAAAAATTGATAAATAAATTGATCAATGATAGTTGCATTCAGTGATTTTGACGTGACATCGAAACTTATCAGAAAATATTCTTTAAATGAGTTTTCCAATCGAATGCAAGATAGACGATATTTGATATTTTTTGATTCGGTTTATAAAGTGGGGTTTATGATCGACTGATGATTTCATTCACAATCAACCTATGTTATCAGTTTGACAAACTGTATGACAAAATTCATTATTTTACAATCAGTACCTGTTATATGATCTGCTGATCGACTTCTGTTTTATCTAAGCTATAATGTTGTTCGTGTGGAAGCAATGATTGTTTTCGGTGATAATCGATCCATTACAATCAGCACTTTTTCAGATGTAATGATATTTTATCGATTCAAATGTTTATTTGTGAGAGACAAATGATCACGAAAAAGGTTGTTCATAAGCCACAACTACATGGATTAGTGGTCAGATCGATTGTTTAATTACAATTTAATCACACCAATAATAAAAAGCAGCAGAATGGGATGCATTTTTCGAGCTCGAATCAATCAGCTGTGGTCGGTGTGGTATACGATTGCAATACTTCTACTGCAGACCTACCTTTTATATCTGGGCTTCGAACGGTATCGCCTCTATTCGGAGATGAAATGGCCACATGGTGCATATCCACGTATTTGGTTGAGTGTTTATGTGATATTGTATTCGGTTTGTATACCAGCATTATTGCTCTTTGCTGCATTCGGTATTTTTAAATCGGGCAATATTGCTGGTGATAATGATCGATTGGGAGCACGCATTGATCGTATCATTGAAATGTCCACTAAATCCAATTCGGCAATGTGGCGAGGTATTTTTTGATGTTGCGTTCTTTTTTTTTTGTTCAGTGAATCTATTGATGAGTGTACGAGTCTTAAACATTCTGCTATTTCATCTGTTCGCGTAGTTAGCTTCTTTCGACTTTTTATAGTTGTGTTTTTTGGTGTTTCATGCATTTTCACTCACTTTTAAAGGGTTGAAGTCAAAAACCTGTTTGTCTTTCGATGTTCTGTACGTCAGGATAACTGTGAGTTTTTACCAATAATCTTTCGTAATTCCAGTTATTCATCTTCCTTGCTGATTGGTCAAAGCTTTGAATGTTAGTCAGTTTCCGCATTTCAAGTGGCAATAATTCCAAATAATCTTGTGCTCACGTGTATGAATAAACCCAAGCCCCGAACTAAAATAATCAGAGTCCATATCAATATGAGTTTGAGAGATGTGGTCGTTTGTATTCACAATCGAAACAGTTTTCTGGGAGTTCTACGTTCGAATCCGGATTTCGTCTTTCGTACTTTTAACATTACACTCCATATTTGTTTATGCTTATGGTCCATCTTGCTCTCACACTTCCATAATAAGCTTCAACTTCACATTTTCTTCCGTTAGAAACAATTGGTCACTGAACTCTTTTGACAAGGATAAGATACTGTTCATGTGAAGTGATTCTGTTTCGTTGAGAAATGAATACACACTAGTTTTCGATGAAATTATCCACTGAGGTGATGTTACATAATCAGTTGCAGAGGGAAACAGACATATTTGTCAGTGATTATCTTGTTAGGGGATTATCCTTTTAATCTCCGTTTGTTGCCTAGAACAATACTATCAACCGAACTAACCATTTATCTAAAGTTCTAACTGAATGTCTCAATTTTTTTCTCCTTTTCACATTCTGCAATACTTGATGAATTGCGAAGCAAACATTCATTTGTATTGATTTGTCTGTTTCAATAGAAATATCGTCATTCGAGATGCAATAAAACTAAATTATTAAAAGTTGATTATTCCACTTCAAATCTGTCATTGAGAACAATTAGTCAATTTCATTCTCGAATATAAGTAGAGCATAACTGAGTTATGTGATCAATTGAGTTTAATGACCAAATCCATGTCTTAACAGTCAGTGAATAGCGATGCAAGATTAATAATGTAATTTGATCAGAATATGTTCATATGGATCACACCTCTTTATTGATTGCTTAGAGCAATCACGATATAAGGCAAACTCAGTAATCAGTTTTAATTGATTATGCTCTTGAACGTTGAATAAATATCCTTGAAATTGTAAAAAGTTGACGATATCAAAGCACAACTCTAGTCGATGATGCGTTCTGCGCCACCATGCAAGTACTTTGTCAAGAACGTGCAATATCTGCTGATTCGAAGGCTGGCATGCGAGCCTTCTCAAGTACTCTTCTGATAAAAATCGTTTTGTAATTACTCTGTTATTATTTTTTGTGGAATTTGGCTATGTTTGTAATATAATCATTATCTATATCAGTATTTCTCTTAAAGAGAAGGAATTCTGTCTTGGGGAGAGGGGACTGGAAGTTAATGTTAATTGCTTTTCCCATAAGTGTTCATCAATAATCTCGAAATTCTTGTCTCATCACAAGGAAGTGATTCGTTTGATATCACCAACAAATTCATGACAGCAGAGCGCTTGATTAATAGATTAGTTTCCTGATTTTCTTTTGATCATTTCCTATGATATCGCAGGTTGTCATAAGTGGGTGGGAAATTGCATTCATATAGGTTATTCAAGGGAACCGAAAATGGCGGTTTGCGATACAGCCAAACGAAGACATACAGCGCTAAAGCTTAAGAACCACTGATCGGTTTTTTTTTCTTAAACTCATCTCTACAATTGCTAACTGAACGTCTTGAAGTTGGATATGTTCAACGAGCACATTTCTCATATATAACATCGAATTTTCTCTAAGCATTTTGCCAGCAACATATGAGTGCAGATAATAGCACTAGCTGCATTTAGCAAAACTGAAAAGTGTTTATAAAATGTTTTCGCCAACTTTCTAGTAACTGTTTTTGTTTATTTCCAAATCTGAACCTTCATATCTTACTCGTGTTCAGCGATCATATTACATCCCTCACACTCTCATCCTTGTACGTTTGCTCGTAGCAATCATGTCATTGATTTTTCTTGAATTGACTTAAATTCCTAAATGAACCGCAGTTTTCTTCATCATTTAAACTATACCACCTATTAAAACATCCTTCCCCTTTTCATCGATGTTAACTTTTTATCGCTCTTTAGCGAACAAAAATATTGCGTTTCGAATGTCTTTCGACCGCCGTAAATTATTTTATACCCATCAAAGATACAAAACTATTAGCTATTAGTATTGAGTTGTGTGCAGATGAATTATTTTAATGAAGTGCATTTTGCATTGAAGGAGGATGTTCACCGCTGCGGAAATTGAAATCGATTTGGCAACATTCACCTCCGTTACCGCAACAAATTCATCTCTTGATGGCATTATTGCAGTTATTTGCCCAACAAATTATGTTAGCGCAGCTCTATCGATATGGCTTTATTAATTCTGGTTCGTCAACTTGATTCGCATCATTTCTCTCTGCAACAGCAAAACGTTTCGGATTGTGATAATGCGCTCAGTTCGTTTTGGAGGTCACCGATAACGTTGATTTTCCCATGCCATGCGTTTCCAATTTTTTTTAATGAATGATTTTGCGATGCAGTCCATTCGTCATAAGTTGAGAATATGGTTCTGTATGTCACTAAAGTATCAGTGGATTGCCTAGATCAAATCCACTTGGAATAATGTATTCTTTCCAGAGGTGGGTACCGCTAACTAAAATGTTAACGAGATGCTCAATAATTAATGAACTAAAATGTTTACGCGGTACTTGATATACAACATCGATGTTGACTATCGGGTACCGCTTAAACAGCTCATGATAGGGATCCAGCTGATGATCTCGCTGGACAGATAAAAATTATCGGCGATATTCGTTAGCGATATTCCTCACTCAATTTTGGGCTCACACTTGTGATGGGATCCGACCGACAGTCGGTCGGAAATATCCGACAATTTTTATCGGAATTCCGACCGAACCATTTGTAAAGTCGGTCGGATTTCCGACTGTCGAAACGACGAACTGCCAGTTCGGTCGGATTCCGAGCGATCGAGATCTCGCTCGGACCCCATCACTAGCTTACACCAGTTGATTTTTTCACAATGAACAGAAATTACTACAGGCGATTCCATTGTAATATTTTCAAAATATTATCCAATGAGAACGATTCATTTCAGAAATTTTTAACGAAAAAACGCTTTCCGAGAAATTTTCAACCAATAGATGACTTAATGCATCTCAAGAAAAATATCACTGAAATTAATTTTTTAACATTATCGTTAATTGATTAACAAACAACTGCATTCAAACGTTTACGGTCATCGGAACTGTGCCTACCTCTGATTGTTTCGCATTACTTCTTGCTTGATAGGGTTGAAATTCACAAAGGACCTATCGATGATAGGTATTGTTAAAGGCGATTTTTTGAACACCGAATTGGATTTTGTGTATCAACGTGCACGACAGTTAGCAACAAATTTACCGATGCTCGATACTCGATTGCAAGGATTTCGAATCTCAGCTCATGATCTCGCTGGAACACCGATCGGCCCAAATCTTCTGCCAAGTGAGAACGAACCTATTTCTATTCTTGCACCATATTCAGTTGTTTATTTCAAAATTGTTATGTTGAAGAAAATGCGATGATATAAATGTTGAACTTTTCAACTGAACGACCTTTGCAGTAATAGAGGCGATCGCATTAATAATCGTAGTAATATTGTTCTGGTCACTATCATTGTATAAAATAACACTTGCACGTATTATAAATCATAACAGTAATCATGATATTTTATCTGCCAGATTTATATCGTTATATAT